GTCAACGAACGACTATCCGCTCTCCTCTCTCAATCACCTTCTGGAGAAGAAATCTCACTTGAATCACCATAAAGTCAAAATCGACATCCAATATTTCTTCGATCAGAACTCTATGAAATTCTACAAGAGAGACACTGAATACCCACCCTCGCATTGGTTATATGTTGGTAATAATGGTGATGTATACTATGCTGAATAAATACATCAGAGAAATAAGATAAGTAATTAAATCGAAAAACACCAAAGGTTCTCAAAAATTATGGACCGACCTAATACATGGTTGTTTGTTTAGGTGTTTACTAGGATACGCATGAGGCGCGTTGTATTCGGTGAATTTGAAATCGTTGGAGAGACTACCTTATTTTCCACTTCATACGGCTCATCTCTGCTCAATGGCCACATTTTTTCGAGAATGGGAGGGTGGTCAGCAGGGCCAAACTGACTACCCACCATCATGGAAAAGCTCCCGAGAATGTGACCTGGGTTTGCGGGTCGCAGTTCGATCTCGCCTTTGTCCATCTCCTTGTGAATTCTGCGCAGCGAGTTCTAGGTAATTGGCGTCGCAATATTGCTGGGTGTGGAAAACAAGCCACGTTGTTCCAATGGTGCAATGAAGATAGAGCGCTGATGGCGAAAATAAAGAATAAAAGCCAAACGAAGAACAAGAAAAACGTGACGGTATACGATATATGATATGATACTAGATACTATATGATACAGTGATACCACTCCCTGATACCGATTATATGAGAATTATGAGAGATAGATAGTGATACCGCATTTACTTATGTGATAAATAGTAGTATAATGCTCATATTAGGCATTATTTCAGGGATAACTATACTTTACAAATCAATCCCCATTCTGCTGCCTGTAATCCAGATCACCTCTCTTATTTCTATTTCATTGGAAAAGTTATGGGCATGGCTATTTATCATGGAAAATTATTAGACGGTTGGTTGGTTATTCGTGATCTTCCCAATTTTTCAATTTTTATGAACCTCATTTTCAGCATTTTTCATTCGGCCATTCTATAAAATGATGCTCGGCAAGAAAATCACACTTTTTGACATGGAGTCTGTCGATAATGCCTATTATAACTCGCTGATCTATATTAAAGACAACGATCCTGAAGACCTCGAGCTCACCTTCGCCGTCGACGATTGCGTATTCGGCGAAGTAAGTGTAGGGTTTCTCGATTGCAAGGGGACAATGAGTAGGTGTTAATACCCATACAAGAAAGCTGTTATCTGTATGAAGGTTCTGTAAATAATTCAAAAAAAACCTTCAAAAACTGCCCATCAATCAAAATATGAAAATCGTTAACGATGCATTCTTTATAACGACATAGAAAATCAGCATGCTATTAAGTCTATTCGCATTTTTCTCATCTACAGCATGCTGCGTCTGCGCTCTCTCATCCGTTGTGCTCTCTCGCCTATGTTCTCTCATCCGTGCTCAGTCTCTCATTGCTCTAGCACAGCCAGCTCAATCGACAATAACAAGCGCTCAACTCTATCGCTTTCGAACGAAGTGACCTCGGCAATTCTTCCCTTTTCTACTACCGACCCACTCATTGATTTATTTTTACATGAGGTTCTCATGTGTAGCATCAGAAAACGAATACTAACCTGCGCAAATGAAAAACAAAAAAAAAACCAAACTGCAAAAAAAGAACTTGCCAGTGCTTTCATTTCGTGAGCAAGAGACACACCATACTGGTCCTGGGACATCCTTTAAGTTCGCTAGATTGGTCCCCCGGCATCCGCCGGAACTCCCTTCCCTGCGTGAGCTTTCCGCGTTGGGTTCCCTTCCACTTGTGGCACCAAAACCTTTTGAAGGTAACGGGCATGCAGAAAAGGTGGTTTATATTGTAGAGGGCATCATAACAATTATGACATGGCGCTAAATTATATCCCAGTACTTAATTGTTTCCTAATCCTGTTAGGAAATGTTCTTCCTCCTCCTTTTATTATCCCAACCTCCTCTCCACTGCTCTCGAGCTGCCACCGCAGCACCATGTGGAATGGCCGGAATGTGCTCAGTAGCTGTTTATATAGCCGTAGTTGTGTAGCTCGCAGCACTCGAGCTACCAATGTTTTGTAGTAGGATAATTATGATAAATTA